GGCACCCGGCATTATACAAATGAAGCCCGGGAAATTCAAATCCTGGGCTTCATTTGCAACTCTGGTTGCCTACATTACCACCCTAGTTTGAACTAGGGTGGCAGTGTAGACATACCCTTCCAGAGATAGCAGCGGGGGGAGGCAGATCTGATGCTCAGGCAGTGGCTCTCCCCTCCCCTGTCCCTTACTGCCTCGGATACAGAGGCAGCAAGGGAGTAGGGAATGTGTGTAGTCACCTAGGCTTATCGGTTAATCGTGTTAATCATTGACATCTTTAATGCAATTATTTGGTTCTCTCATTTGTCCTTGCAGCTTTTAACATTTTATTTAAAATATTACATTTGTAGTTATTGTGGTTGTGAATAAATCTTTGACGGTTACCTAATGCAGCTGTGTTACTGAGTGTGCTGACGAGGAGACAGAAATAGTAGCTCTGTGAGAAGAAATGATAGCCCTTAAAAGACTTCCAGCTAGTTCAAAACAGAGCACTCTGTCTCTGAGCAGCCCAGCCTGCTGAAACCACATAACCCATGTGCTTCACTGTCTGCTCATTGAATACTGGTCACATTCCAAGTTCTCTTCAGAGTCCATGGGATTCATTGACTCAGATGACACAGGGCTTCCCACAGCAACTTCGTTCTTCTGCTACTGTGGAACTGTCAACCTCAAGAGAAAGGTGCGGGCACTAGAAACTGAGCTTTGACAGTAGCTGGGCTCACACTGTGGAACTTGCTTCTTTTCAAAATCTGGGTGGGTGAACATAGAACACGAATATTGGTGCCTTCAGAATGACATGTAAATCCCACTTTGATGTACCTGTCCCACGAGAACACTACCTCCAGCTTATAACCATCCTAGTACCTAGCTCTTACCCAGCATTTCCTAAAGTTGTTTACATAAGAAGACAAAGTACCAGTATCTTCATTTTACAGAGGCGGGCTGATATACAAATATAATTCCCACTGACTAGGGTTGGAGAGAGAACAAGGAAATTCATATGTTCACTTCAACTAATCTGTAAGGTATTTGAATCTCCCTTTGAATGACATGTTATAAAAACAGAGAGGTGTTGACTGTGCTCTTACACTTCGGTGGGGTATTATCTCTGAAGTATAATGATGACATTTAAAATGTCAGCATTAAGTATTCCACTGCCAATCATTTTAGAAAGATTATCCAACTGTATTAAGTTTTTGTGCTGAGTTAGAATGTCGCCTCTCTCACAATGGGATTCTTGTGTGGAGATGATCGGTAGCTGAGGAATAAGCACCAGAAACAAAAAAAACTGTGATGAAGATACAGGTTGCATGGAAATGGATTCACTTTATGGGCTGAGGGAATCCTCTTACAGCTGCCTGTTGATAGGATCCTTTTCTCTGAAAACCTTTCTTACCAAGGAAGGCTGGACAGCATCTTTCAGTGTTTGACAGTGCTGCCTTTTGTATTTGGTTAGGATTTGGGATAAAAAGGTCACTAGAAAGCAACACAAAATACTTTCTCCATGAGGGAATGGTCATGGGGGTTTCCTGGTCCCATCTCTAAACCTTCCATTCACATTGCAATACTTGGTGCTGTCACTAGATGGCCTGGCTACCTATGGGTGTTCTTCCTAGTACAGACAGATGATAATAGAGTAGAAGCCATAAACATGGTTTTGTATTTCACATTTTCCTGTCCCTGTTTTATGTCAGCGTAGTTAGTAAGAAGTAGAGGGAAAGTCAACGGCACTTCAATCTTATTCTAAAGAGATTTTATGTTATTTCTTTGATGTTTCTTTAACAGGCATTCCTAAAGAACGGGGCATGAACTGTGTTCTCACAAAGGCAAAACCTAAGGATCCTGAAATTTTCTACCTAATTTAATCCAAGTTTGAGCTCAGACTACAAAGATTTTGGGCACTGGTCCTGCACTGAAATCAACAGCACTCCATGCAGTGCAGCAATCCCCCAAATATGATTAATCTTAAGCCCTAACTCTTTTATCCCACTTTTCACCAGTAGATCTTGAAGCTGTATACAAAGTAGGGCAAGTCTCATTATCAATATTTTATAGATGGAGGCTGAGGTACAAAAATAATTCCCATTGCACACTTGTTATTTATCTCTTAAATTAGAAAGGGGGCCAGAGATACGGTAGCTGACTTGTGACTTCTGTTTAAAATAAAACAAGTAGTTTGAATGCTTCCTGGAAACACGGATGACAGGATGTTGTCCAAGCTGTGCATCTGATTGCTAAAGAAGTTTGAGAGAGAATTATGAGACTTCAAACTGTGTGTATGTGTTTAAAAAAAAAAAAAAAAAAGCTACTTCCAGAGTAGAATATGTAAATCCACAAACACTGAATGGTGTCCAGATATTTAAATTCTATATTTAGGCATGCATACACACTCTGAAACAGAATCTACATCTGTTACTAAAGACTTAAATTAACGCAAAGTATTAGGGATCAGTCCTGCAAGGTACTGAGTGCCCATGCCTGCCATTGGCTTCAGTAGAAATTGAGGGTGCTTAATACTTCCACAAGGCTGGCACCTAAAACTGTAATCTAGGAAAAGCCTCTGAATTAATCACTAACCAGTCCTGTCTTGCATTAAATGAAAGCCACATACCAGCATTAATTTTGCTGTGACAGAGCTCCCCTCTTCAAATTTCTAGGTTCCTTCTTTGTGGTTTTCACAGAGTTGTATTAGTGTTAATGGAATGAATGGGTCCAGAGAGCTAAAGGTGTTAACCTGACCTAAAACTGTCCAACATGAAACAGTGTTAAGCAAGGTTTGGCATACAGAGACCTCAACCTGCTTAGGAGCTTGGCACTAAGTTCCATGAAAGTCTTTTTAATCTTTTATTAATGATGCAGCAAAGAAAGAAAACACATTTTCTGTCTCTTCTGTTGACTCTCGCTTGTAGTCTCACTGCTGGATAAATACAGGCCCAGGACACGATCTTATCAGCCACCGGAAGACGTGGCAAGCTGGTAGGGTATTTATGTTAGCTACATCTTTCTGGTCCCAGGCTTACAAAATGGTTACAAAATATGCAGTCTTGGCTGGTCAAGCCAGGGTCGTACTAGACAGAAGGCAAAAGGGAGAAGTATAGGAAAGAAAATAAATAAGGTAGAGAAGGAAAAGAAAACATGGAGGGTAGGGTGTGACAGTCTAATGGCACAAGTAGTATTTAGGATAGAGTTGATGCAGGTGGTGTCATTTGGTTCCCTTTCTGGCTGGGTCTGGTCAAGATTAGGATGAAGATCTGTGCTCCCAGGAAATGGTGGAGATGGCAGCCATGATGGTAAAGCTTGCTCCAGTAGCCATTATATATCCCCAGAGTCCCTTTCTTGAACAGCAGCAAAAGAGTGATGAGTAGAATATCCCTTTATTCTTTGTTCACATATAGGCATAATTTCTGACAACAATTTTGGTTCATTGATTTCTGTTCTCTTTTGTTTTGCCGGGTGTTATTTTCATACAGTCCTTGATAGGGATGTTACATTTCCATTTATCAGCTAATTGAGTAGTCGATGGAATTTCCATTGACTCGATTAGTCAATAAGGGAGTGAGGCGCAGTGAGGAACCCAGCACAGAGATGGTGCTGGGGGGGAACCGGCTTTCAAGCCAGCTTCCCCAGCCCCGGCTTCTGCTTCCCCACCTTGCTCCCTTTGATATATAGGCAGCGGGGAGGGGGGGGAGAATACAAGTAGTTAACTCAACTACCCGATAAGCCTAAGCTTATTGGGTATTTGACTCCTCTTTTATGTCTCTAGTCCTTGAGTTATATCAGGAGGCCTTTTTGTTTAGTCTAATTCAGTCTGTCTTGGGTTTTCCACCTTTTCCCATCAGTATTTGTCACTATAGCTTATTGTGGCATTTCATGCTCACTTTGTACAGTTGAGTGCACAATTAGGGTATATTTGCACATTTAAGTATCAACCAACAGCTACTGTGAACAGCCTTTGTAATTGCTACCTCAGCACATGGTTTTTGTTTTCTTCTAACTTTCCTGAGAATTTTCAGTGACTGTGGGACAGCTGGCAAACACTCTCACTCCGTATCATCCTGGCTCTGATCAGTGATTTTCTGGTGGGTTTCTCAATCCCTTTGAGGGCCTGATATGCAGACAATACCAACAGTAAGCAATAACTCCGCAGCCATTCATTCTGTGGGTTTTCCCCACTGCAACAAGATGCATCTTAGCCGGTGGTATGAGCTTTGTCCCCAATGTGAAACACAGATATCAGCAAAGGCCTTGACAGAGCTATAAAAATCCCCATAGCATATGAAAGCCATGAAAAAAGCTTTTCAAGTATGATGAAACGCAATGAAAATACACGCAAATACTGGAAAATGCAGATTTTCCGTTCAGTAGCAAAGAGTAGCCATTGCTGCCTGGTCACATTTCTTTTTATTTAGATTTTTTTTTTTACACTTATCATTTGTGTATTATTGGGAGGAAATTTTTAGTTTAGTTATTTATTAGCGATCATAGGTCCTTATATTGCTCCCATTACCATGTAATCTATTGCTCAAACTATCATAATGGAAGAAATTATCAATGATCAGATTTTCAGAGCATGTATGTACTGCAGCTAGGACAGGAGTGGGCAGTAAGCAGCCAGCGTGCCAGATGCAGTTCACCAGGATTAGCCCCAGGGAGGGGACCCTGGTGCTTTATTTACCTGCACATCCACAGCTATGTCCACTTTTAGCTCCTGTAGGCCTCCGCTAACCCTGGGAAACCAGGCTTATTGCCCACCCCTTGAGCAGGAGCATAGCTACTTTCAGTTCATTACCCTTCTGTAGCTAGCCTCATCTGGATCTGATACAAGAATGGGAAAATCCACAGCGCATGCCCCTCAGCTATGTTGAGAGGTTGTTGCAGGGATGGGAGGATTTTGGCCTGACTCGGTACTTGTGATTGAGAGGAAAGCAGCTGTTTATGCAGGGGGTAGAAGAGGAGAGCATTGGAATGAAAATAACAAATAATGTTCTCTTGTCTGTTTGCAGCCATACGATGTAAATTTACAAGTTACGTCCGTGTTGTCCAAACTCTCCCTGTTTCCCCATCCACACATCCATGAATACCTTTTGGATCCCTATGTAAATCTGGCTTCAGGCTGTCGATCGCTCTTCTCTGTTATTGTGAGGGTGAGTAAACAACTAACCAACATGTATATGTAGCAACTGTAGTGATAAACTTAATAGCTTTGTAATGAATGCTAAAGGATAGGTAACTTTGGCTTTATAGTATGGCATTTGCCTCTTAAAAGGGATATACTTTAAAAAGCACTAAACTATGGACTTTCCTACCAAAGAACATTGAAGAATGCACTTCTCGGTAAATCTTTTTACTCTCCAGGGGCATCTTTGAAATTGTTTTATTTGCCATGTTTGCAGAATTTCAAAGATGTGGCTATAAAATTATTTCTTTCAATGTTGTGACCTTATTCCCAGTTGACATGGCAGTATCCTGTAATGCCATAAGTACAGGCATATGTCTGCACTAGAACATATGAGGGTGAAAGAGCTGGTTTTATTGAGGCATAAGTAAATTATTCTCCTGAACATGCGGTGCTTTTGAATGGAATGTTACTTCATATTGTCCTATCCCCTTCAAGCATGATTGTTTTACTCCTGTCCACCTGTAACTCTATTGCAGATCTGCGTCCACTGTAAAAATCGCTGTACTTACCTCAGCTCCTTCATATCTCCCTCTGATCTCCTCACTCCCTCTAATACGATCAGGTCCACAAATCCCCCACAAAATACAGACAAATGTGTTAAGAACCCTTCCTGCCTGCAAACAGCAAAACCAGTTCCACCAGGGGTCCTCTGAGAAATGTCAGTTATGAAGAGATCTGGCCCCCAAAGGATGTAGCTAATGATTCCAAGCCCACATATAAGGAGAAACAGGATGAAAAGGAGCTAAGGAAGAAGACCTTGTGACATTCAGGGAGCAAAGACTTTCTGCCAGAGGAGCTAGCACCAAGCTGCCTCTGAGAGATTTAGAGCCCCCTGGAAACACAAAGGAAGTAGATGGAGATTAGAAGCCTTGAGAGCCAAGGGCTTTTTTACTTGATTATAGCCTATGACTTGTTTTACTTGATCTGTTTGATTCCCATGGGTCAAACACCAATGTTAGCTGCTCGAACTGGAGTTCGCACAACATGGTGTCCATCCTTCTTTCTACAGTCCTTAAAGCCAATGGGTTAAAGCCGCTGAATTTTTCAGTGGTTACACATTTACACACAGAGGAGGGGAGGAGGTGGGAGTGGTGCTCACAAGGAGCCAGCTTTTAAGCTGGCTCCCCATGAACTCAGGCTCCTGCCTCTCTCCCCTCTGTTGCTTCTAATATAGTGAGAGCAGGGTGGGGGGCGGAATCTGTGTGTAACTGAGAGGGTTAGCTGACAGGCCCAGGATCATCGGTTAACTGGGATCATAGAATCAGAGTTGGAAGAGACCTCAGGAGGTCATCAAGTCCAGCTCCCTGCCCAGAGCAGGACTATTCCCAACTAAATCACCCCAGCCAGGGCTTTGTCAAGCTGAGACTTAAAAACCTCTAGGGATGGAGATTCCACCAGCTCCCTAGGTAACCCATTCCCTTGCTTCAACCCCCGCCTAGGGAAATAGTTTTTCCTAATATCCAACCTAGACCTCCCCCTCTGTAACTTGAGACCATTTCTCCTCGTTCTGCCATCCGTCACTACTGAGAACAGCCTCTCTCCATCCTCCTTGGAACCTTCCTTCAGGAAGTTGAAGGCTGCTTTCAAATCCCCCCTCACTCTTCTCTTCTGCAGACTAAACAAACCCAAAGCCCTCAGCCTCTTCTCAGAGGTCATGTGCTCCAGGCCCCTGATCATTTTGATCGCCCTCCGCTGGACCCTCTCCAATGTGTCCACATCCTTTCTATAGTGGGGGGCCCAGAACTGGACACAATACTCAAGATGTGGCCTCACCAATGCCGAATAAAGGGGAATAAAGACATCTCTGGATCTGCTGGCAATGCTCCTCTTAATGCAACCTAATATGCCATTAGCCTTCTTGGCTACCAGGGCACACTGTTGACTTACATCCAGCTTCTCATCCACTGTAATCCCCTGATCCCTTTCTGCAGAACTGCTGCTTAGTCAGTCGGTCCCCAGCCTGTAACAATGTTTGGGATTCTTCCGTCCCAAGTGCAGGACTTTGCATTTGTCCTTGTTGAACCTCATCAGTTTTCTTGTGGCCCAATCCTCTAATATGTCTAGGTCACCCTGTACCTGCCCTCCAGGGTATCTACCTCTCCCCCTAGCTTAGTGATACATATTCACATCCCTAATGCTGCTTCCAGAAGCAGCTGGCTGGCTGAGTGCAGACATGGCTCTGCAGCTCGAGGCAGGGGGGAGAGAATGAGGCAGCTTCTTCTGCCACTGCCCTCGGCACTGTCCAAGCAGCTCCCTGGACCTTGTGGGCACAGGCAGCAGAGCAGCACATGGAAAACTCCCCCTGGGGCTGCTTACAGAGTGCAGCCATTTCTAGGAGCAGCATGAGCCAGGCAGGCAGAGACAGTTTCTCTGAGCCATACTGTTCTGCCAACTAGGAGCTCCCTATGGTAAGTGCCTCCTGGCCTCAGCCTCTGCCCTTAACCCCTGTGCCAGCCCTGAACCTGCACGCAAACTCCCTCCCAGAACGCACGCCCCTTATCCGTCCAATGCTGTGCCCCAGCCTGGAGCCCGCTCCTGCATCCAGAGTGTGGAGGTGCATGAGGAAGTAGTGCAAGTTCTGGAAGGGAGTTTTCCCAACCAGGAGTCCCTGCTTCACCCCAACTCCCTCACGGAGTTTGCACCCGTCACTCCTGCGCCCCAACACTCTGCTCTAGCCTGCAGCTTCCCTCGTACCCAACTAACTCCCAGTGCCCTCATCCCTCCTGCACCCCAGTGGTGCCCCAGCCAGACGAAAGTGAGGGAGAATGAGCAGGGGAAGGGGCGGGGCCACAGGGAAAGGGCAGGGTAGATCCTGGGTTGCCTTTAAATTCAGATCATAGTCTTAGGCATAGAGAGTTTGGAGACCACTGGTCTAGTGACTGGGTTACACGTTGGTTTATGGTCTGTACAACCTTTGAGCTGTCAGAACTGAGTCTTCTAGCAGAGGGACATGTTTTTAGATCCAGAGTTCCCCAAGTTTAGTTTCTCCTGTGCAACAGGGGCATCATGTTATATGAAAACAAGGAGGAGTCCGGTGGTACTTTAAAGACTAACAAATTTATTCGGGCATAAGGTTTCATGAGACACAACTCACTTCCTCAGATGCTGAAGAGAAGAAGAAAAGAAAAAAGGAAGGGATATAGAGGTGGGAGTGTGGTATCATTGCTAAATAAATCGGAGAGGATGTTGCTAAAACAGACTAACACAGCTACCTCTCTGAAACACGTTATGTGAAGATGACTGCCCCTCTTTCCCCTTATTCAGGGCTCCCTAAACAAAGTCACAGCCCTTCTTGGGGTCTAGGTTTTTAATTAAGTTCACAAAATTGCCAAAAGAAACACACAAGAAATCTCCACACGTCCTTAAACTGAGCATAGCCCCTCCTCCCTGAAAGACTGTCCCTTCCTCAGGGATCACTTCAGGAGACCCTCTCTCTTTCTGCAACACCCTTCTAGCTCTGCTCTTGTTTTTAGCTCTTTTCACTCTCTCAGGCTTCATGAGGAATATGGGGGGCTTGAAAGGAGCCAAATTTGCTCCTTGGAGAAGTTGCTTCTTCCACCATTTCTCTCCCCACACAGTCTCTTCTTTCCTGAGTTTTTGGGGTCACTAACCAAGCTTCCTGCCTCTGGCATTCTCAACTACAAATTACCCTGCAGCTTCCTGCTGCCCTTTCTGTGGGAATCATCTGATTCCTCCTAGCTGAGGCCCATCTTGTAATCAGAGCTGGCTTGGCCCTAGGCTCTCCAGCCCAAAGGCAAGCCACTCTGTTGCCACTGCACTCTAAAATCACAGGGTCTCTGCAGTAATTAGCAGAGGGAATGCTGCTGTAGGTTGCTTGCACACTAGAAAGCTGAGGATTCAGTAGCAGAAAGATTCTGAACATCCCTTGTCTGTTGGGCAATTGTGAAGATGAATTAACCACCTTAAAAGTTGATCGTTGTTTGAACTCTCATTGGCTGTCTCTTTATTTGGCTATCACTTCATATAGTACTACTTTGCCTCTGTGTGATTTCAGGTTGTTGGAGATCTTATGGTGAGAATCCAGCGCATCCCAGATTTTACTCCCAAACTTCTGCTGGTCAGAAAGCGTCTGCTTGGATTGGAGCCTGAAGGGCCCATGTAAGTAAATCGATTGCAAACCCTCCCATGGCAGCATATGCACTCTCTGTCACTAGGGTGACCTAATTTTGGGGTGCGGATGCCGCCTCCTCGGCCAAAAGAGGTTTGGCTGTCACTATAATCTGTAACACTTCACCAGTCTCCAGGCAACCCGGGGTCCATAAAGGGGGGGGGGGGGGAGGCACTCTATAGCCCCCAGTTCAAGGTAGTAGACATAGGGTAGTATGTCTTATTGGTTAGAGTCAATAAATGGTAGCCCTCAATCCAGGGCAGGATGGCCTACTGGCCAGAGTCAATGAATAGCCCTCAGTCCAGGGCGATATGGCCTACTGGCTAGAGTCAATGCAGTTGGGGCTAGTGTCCCGGTAGGGGGACCCGGGCCCACCCTGCTCCACCAGGTCCCAACCCAGGGCCTTTTGAGTAGCAGCATGGTCTGCCACTCCCTCGGCAGGGTATCTGGCGGAAACATGCCAAGGATACCTACCTCTTTGTTTGGATCAATGTCCCACGTGGTAGCTGGGTCTTCCAGATATCCAGCAGCTGCTTCTCCCTGGGATTCCACGGGGTTTGCATTGTGGCTGTCTCCCGGGTCTCTGGTTCTTGCCACTAGAGTGGCTGGCTGCAGCAGTTCAGGAGATCTGACAGAAGGTCCTTCTCATTCGCTGGTCAGCCCGTACTGAGCTGCTCCGCGGCCTTTTATACTGTTCGAGCATGCCAGTCTGGGTAAAGGGGCAGGACTTCCTCTGCCCACAGAGTCTTAGCTCCCCCCCCCCCCCCCAGTATGGGGTATGCACTCCCCATCATATCTCTACACAAACTGTTTGCATGCGCGACTTCTTCTTAGTCCCTGTTGTTTTTTCCTTTCCCAGTATTGACCACATGACATTACTAGAAGGAGTGATTGTACTGGAAGAGTTCTGTAAAGAGCTGGCAGCAATTGCATTTGTGAAATACCATGCCTCAGTTACACCCTAAGCAGTTTCTTGATGTGACTGAGCTACAAAATCAAGTGCATTTTGGTAAATAAAAAAAGAGTTGTCTCCACCCAGACAAGAAGAAAGAGAGAGAGCCTCCTAACAAAGGGTCAATATCATTTGACAGTTGTTATGGATGGCATTGGAGGGTGAGTTCTTGGTCACTTCATGATTTCTTGGCCTTGGCTGCACTCTGATGGCGTTGTAATCAAATGGATATTGAACCCAGGATGCAATCAAAGGGACTTCAGGGCAGACACAACATAACGTTTCCAGTCAGTGTTGGAAGAGCTGAAAAAAATGTCTGAGGAGCCATAAACTTCATAACTTTGGTTACCAGGCCATTCTTTTAACAACATTTTAGATGGTAAGGGGTTTTGATATGCTCTGGGGCTCATATACTTAAATTGTCTTTTGGGATTGTTATTGCTTTTTGAAATAGCAAACTATTTCTGTAATGTTTTCATGTCACAAGTCTTTTCTCTTCAGTTGAAAACATGAAAGGAAAACAGTAAAGCAGCATGTGTAGAGATACAAGTGATACCATCTAAAACACTGGAAAGTGGATGAAAAGACCTGTTAATTCATATGCAGTATATGCTCCAGGTGGAATGAATTCTACATTTGTGAATCTTCTTACATTGTAGTGAATTTTGGGCTGGTGAATTCTGATTCACAACTGTGTTATCCCAGTTTTACCCTGTTGTAATTCCTTATATTACTGAAATTATATTGCCATACATTGGCGAATCAGGGCCTGTATGTAAACAATGATCATATCCTCAGTATGCATGTTTCATGTGTGGTGCTCTTTGTCTTTCCAAATGATTTCTCCTGAGTTCATCTGTGTAACTAGATTTGCCTTAGATTTTTGTATGTGAGCTCCAGTTTGATCCATGTCATCTTTACAAGGATGCTAGTTATACAGGTCATTAATAGTAGTTGCTAAAACAGTATTTTTTTAAAATGCTATTTAACATTGGCTTAAGGATATTTTGTGCCTTGAAAATTGGCAGTGTAAATGTTCCGTTATTTTAAAAAAATATTTTATTGCTTGTTTAAACATAACCATAGTGTCCAGACAAAAAGAGTGACTGAAACTGTTTTGGGCAGCAGTACAAAGGATAATACAATACCTGGGACCAAAATTCTGGTTTTCACAACCCTGGGATGCAAAGATGTTTCCCGGTGCATTCTTTGCAACATGAATTCCATCAGCCAGGGCAGGAATTTCCATTGCAGGCCGAGAGACATGCACTCAAGCATACTTCGCTAATATTCCTCCTGGATGATTACAGTTAACACTTGCTGCAGACAGCAGAATATGCATTAGTAACCTGAAAGGGTTGGATGTGCTCCTTAACCTTCACATCACTCTTAGTGATCTCTGGAGAGAGATCATCCCTCCTGTTTTCACAGGAGAATACCTTCATATTGACATGGTAGCAAGGACAGACGAAGCAGGATTGAACCCTTAATGTTCACATGGCGTTTCTTTGTATGTTTTCAATATCCTGTTGGACAGTAAGTGCCCGTTTCTGATCTCATTTCAGATTAAATTAGGACTGATTTAATCAGTCAGTAGCATTCCTCCTGATCTCCATGGGTGTAACTGGGATCAGAATCTGGCCTTCCATAATTTTGATGTCTCTTTTTTTATCAGAAGTCTTCAAGTGGCTTGTGAAACAAAATTGAACACTTTCACAGTTAAAAAATGCATCACTTAGTCACGGCATAAACTCCAGTGAAGTGTCCTGCAGACAGAAATGTCGAGTACCACTCCAAAAAAGGAGTATTGCCCCAAAGTGGTTCTGGCCAGGGAGTAAGATGACTCAGTAGCTGCCTACGCATCTTCCCATCAACTTCAGCTGGAATGAAAGATGTTCTCAAGAACGGGTAGCAGTGGGAACCTTGGACTTAGCAGGCATATGCACCAGCTTTGCTGAACATGGTCCAATAATGTTTTCAAACTAAAATAGCTTAGTAAAATAAAGTTAAAGGGTATTTTCCCTTCTTTTGTGTTCTTTACATGGATATTTGGAAATTAGCAAGTGATTTTTTTTTTTTTTTTACAGAGCAATGTGTACTACAGTTGATCCATTTTAAGATGCTTCATTGATATAATATATTTGCCTGTGCATACAGTATAAAAATGTTTGTGTGTACATTTCTGTTTAATGCATACTTTTGGATAATTTGGCTCCAATTCTGCAAAGCACTTATTCATGAGCTGAAAGTTAAGCATCTACCTAGGACCCTCTTAAAGTGAATATGAGTTAGGAAAACAGTTGAAGTTAAGCTTGTTTTTAAGTGTTATACCAAACAGCAGTAGAATTATGCATGTTCTTAAGTTCTTTGATGAATCAGGCCTTTGTTGTTTTAAGTTGAGTTTAATTACCCTTCTTGGAAAATTTAATCCTATTTTCAATATTTATTAAAAAAATAAATTCTGATTTTTAGAATACTCCTAAAGTCCCACTTGCAATGTAAACTATAGAGAACGTAATGCTATGAAAAATGGGAGTAAAAAAACAAAATCCACATTCAAGTATTGCAGATAATATGATCATTATAAATCCATGTGAGATGCAGGATCTCAGAAGGAGACATGAGCATTATTTAATTTTTTTTACCAGTTGCTGCGATCTGAGCTAATTACACAGTAAGAGATTGCATCTGTCAGTTTATGCATGGATAACTGCAGAGTCTGTAGTTTTAAAATACAAAACAATCTCCCTTAGGGATGTAAAAGAGTAGTCAAGTCAACTACTCGCGTTTGCCCCAACTCCCACCTTGATGCCTCTATATCAGAGGCAGCAAGGCAGGGGGAGCAGGAGCTAGTGCTGGAGGGAGTCAGCTTAAAAGCTGTGGCCGAGGGAGGGGGAAGGAGCAGGACAGGGGAAACAGAGGCACAGCTGGGAACCCGG